TTTGGCAGGATAAAAACTCTTTGGTGTAGCTTTATAACAGGTACCTTTCGCTACCTTGCCTTTAGAAGTCTCAAATAGTTGACTGTATTGTGCCAAAACAACTAAGCCGGCCTCATCAAGGTGGGTCTGCTTCGCAAGGAGGGGTGAGCACGCGGAAAGTCAGAAAACTGCCAGAACCGGATGTTTGGCATCGTTCATCCATTTCTGCTGGGGAGGACGCTGCACCGAGTAAAGAATTTGACGGAAATGTTTGTTCTTAAATTTTTTTATTTTTATTTTTTTGTTTCATTTTTAAAACTTTGAATTTTGTTAATTTAGACCACAAGATTGGTTGACTTTAAGCCTTTGAATGCGAAGGGTGAAAATTCGAGCAGAAGGAAGCAAAACAAGAAGGAAAAAGCAAAATTACAGCGGCACATGGAAGAAGTGCGGTTTCAGATTTGCCACTGTGAAGTCGTAAACGATTTTCGTATATTGTCGAATTTTTAAACAATTTTTTGTGAGTATATTTTGTTTTTGGTCTGTTGTTTCAGGAGAAAGTAGGCTTGAAAAAAGTAAATAAGACCGCAGGAGAGAGATGTGCAAACGAGACCGATATTGCTGCGGTTCCTTTTTCTTTTTTTTTACCTGCCTTGATTCCCTTATCAGATTGTCAATTAGTTTGCTAAGTTTCCACTGTTGACTTGAAAAATGGTTTTCAAGAGTTTATTTTCAAGGTGGTATCGCATGATGATAGTGATCGAGATGAAGCAGCTGTTCAGCCACCACTTTTAGATACTTTATCTGAAGTTACGTGTGAAGTAAAACAACAAGAGAATTTGTGTGCGGAAAAAGGGTCGTTCGAGTTGTCTGAGGAAAACGATGTAGTCAAAGCTTCGGAACCCTGTGAAGCGTCTAAAAGTTTTTCGGAAGTTTGTTTGCTTGATGTTTTGTTGTTCCATTCTAGAATTTTTGTAACTCGAGCAGCCATTTTTTTTCAGATCATGTCATCTACTTTTGCGTCTCTCCTAGGTGGTTTCTCAAAATTTACTACGTCAGATACTGAAGGCGCTGCAAAAAGCTCACTAAGTACGAATTCGGTAAGCATGCAGAATCCAATTTGAAGCACTGCGATGCTTTGTTTATACGACTGATCATCGCCCAGATAATAGGCTTAAATTATATGTCTGGTTTTAAATTTACCGGACTCTTTCATTTTGGTGGTTTCACTGCTGTTACCAACTGTAATGGTTGAGATGATTGAGCACCAGCAGACAATAGTTGTTTTTTAGCGCTGGAGACATGTATTTATAGAAACTGATGCTATTTTTTTGGATTTAATTAACCGTTTTTTTTGATGTTTTAGACACCTCAGTACTCTGGTCTTTCAAATTTTATATTGGGTTTAATCAACTGTCCTGTTAAAGCCCTCTTGATTTTGAAAAACTTTGCTTTTTTTTTAATTTTTGAGGATTCATTGCTAGGCTATTTAGATGTCAAAAAACTACTCTCAAATTATTTTTAAACTTTGGAGCGCTTTTTTGTGTTTTTTTTTTCTTTAAATGTTGATGAAAATAATTTTGGTTTGGTTTATGATTTATTAGGAAATACAGCCAGCGCTCAAAGACTTGGGTTTTCAAGTAAAAAAAATCTGCTTTTCAGGTGATTCCCTGCAGGATGGTTAGAAGAAGATTACTTGCTTTGCTTTGAAAATTTAAAAAATTTTTATTGAAACATCGTAGGAACTTATTTTTTACTAACTTTATCAAAACGACGTGGGCTTTTCACTGCTTGGTATCAATTGTTTGCTCAATTTCAATCAAACAATGCTTCTTGAAAAGCTTTCTTTGTCTGACTCGGACTTTGGTTGCAATTTTCAAAGTTTTTTGCAGCCATGATGGCGATATCACTCTCGCTGCAGTCGTAATGGCAGCGGTGTTTTATATGCAGAAAAAGGGGGTTTAGAGGAAGATGGGTATCTGTATTGAAACTTTCCTAGATTGAAGCCTTCTAACTATTACTCAGGTATGTGATTTCATGTCCTGATGGGCAAGAAATCGTGTGCCTGCGTATGGGCTGATTTTATGGCGCACGTATTGAGAAGCGTGTATTACTGCAAGGCGCAGCGTTATTGCTCCTTACTTTATAATCTTTTGCGAAGTATGCGTTGACTACATCTGAAGGGATTCAGTTTATATAGGAGGGTCTGGTAAGACTGTCGAGATTGACGAAACGACCTTATTGCTGCGAAGGTTGTTCACTGTGGTGCTGTCACTTTGCTTCTACTTAACTGTCAATACATTTTTTGCAGAAGATGAATGCGCTGCTTATACCACCATAAGATAGTTAATAAATTTTATTTTTTTTTT